ATATATATATATATGTTCTTTCCTACATATACATATATACACATGTATATATACAGGATAGTCCACTTAAATTGAGCATATATTTGATGATACGAAAAGATTTTCAAGAGAAAAGTTGCATCGTTCGAGGAAGTACTTATTGTGACAGAAAAAATCTTTTTTTCATGGTCATTTTAAAATGAAACTACATGGTTTTTCACACGCTTTTATAGTTTTAGTTTTATTTCAACATCTCTTTTTCTCTCGAGAGGAGAGCAGTGACCTATGACAACATGATCTTTAAATAATAATTTATGCTTTTCAACACAAAAATTTATATAAGATGTTCAAAATTTATGCCCTCTAATATCAATACACATTTTTTAATTCGATACAATACGATACTTTTACCCTTTCTATCATTTCTGAATTTATAATCGCACGTGAGCCGGACTATCATCATATTAGTACCACAAGAGTAGATATGTATGTTTAATGTTATGAATTCTTTGTGAATCAATGTAGAACATATTATCTTGACTTCTATAACATATATAACGATGTAACAAATATAGAAAAGAAAGCTATACATAAAAAAACGCATTTTAATGCATGTACGATTATTCTGTGCGATAGAAATGATAGAAAGGGCAAAAGTATTATTTATATATCGTATTAAAAAAATGTATTGAAGTTGAAGGGCATTATTTTGAACACCTTAAATAAATTTTTGTGTTAAAGAGCATAAATGTTTAAGTTTTTCTTTTTTTTCAAATATACGTAATTTTTCATATTTAAGAGTATTTAGAGGTTATGTCATAATTCGCTGGACTTCTTTCGATGGCTATAAAAGCGAGTAAACAAAAATATGTAGTTCTATTAAAAAAAATTATTTTAATCTTCAAATATCTATCTAAAAAAATGATTTTGATAAAAATTTTTTCTGTCATAACTGCCCCCTCGAATGGTGCAACTTTTTCCTTAGTAGCCATAAAAGCAAGTGAGAAATTTAAGATGTTCTATTTAAGTGGACTATTCTGTATATGTTCATTCTTTTTCATTTTTTAAATGAATATATATTTTTTGTATACTATTGCAGAATCAAAAAAAAGTTCACTTTTTCGTTTTTTTTTATATCTTCGTCTATTTATTCATAACAAACAGAATTTATCTATAAAGTGTTGTGATTACGTAGGTTAATCTTCAGTAAAACTGTAATTTAATACTAATATAAAATTCACTAATCTTTCTCTCAATTCCATTGTATATGGATACATATAATATGATAAGAATATGTGTCAAACAATAGCTACATCAAAATAATTGAATATGATACAACAATAGCTATATCAAGCAATAGCTATATCAAAATAACAATTGAATATGATATAATATAAATTAATTAAAAGCTAATATAAATTAATAAAAAGCTGTCAAAATCGCAGCTTGAATAATTAATGGTTGTGATACATATATTAATATTTATATAATATGTGATACCCACGATTAGAAAGACTAGCGAATTTTGGATTGGTAAAAATTAAGGTTTTATTGAAGCTTAGTGTACAACAAAGATGTGGAACGTACGGTCGTTGACTAAAAGATTGTCCATAATTTTTTAAGTGAATTTGTGAATTCGTTCCTTTTATCTAATGGGATAATTCTTCCACTGAAAAATTGAATTCTCTCACTGGAGAAGATGGAGAGTTCACAAACAAAAGTAACTAAAAATAATCTTTCTGTCTACGACTGTATATAATTGTGTCAATTCCAAAAGAAGTTTCCTATTATTATGAGGTAAACAGATAATAAAAATACGTGTTTGTATGCGTGCTCGCGTCTGCACGTGTTGTAATAGGTGGTTATATTATGTATGAGAGACGGGGAGAGAGAAGTATTCTCAGAAATATAAAAATACCTCATTTTTTATGAGAGTAAAGATCCAGTAATATTTCTGATGATGTAATGTTGCTATAATTCATAAACGTTAACGTCAATTATCGTTATCAACTTTATCTCTCTCTCTCTCTCTGAGTATTTCCTAAATGTAAATAAAACATTTAGAATCACACTTTTACTGAATATAATTTTAAACTTTTTGTTATCACACGCTATCGACTGTGCAATAGGTCATCTTAATAACATTGTGTTAATAACATAGACCATTTACGTTAATTATATGTAATTATTACTTGAATTAACAAATACGTCCATTTTTAGTTTATGTCTTGTGGCTAAGGGACATATATTCACATGTTTTGTTTAAGAGGAAAGATTCCACGGAAATTTTTTGTTTTTAAAGATATAAAGATTCTTTTTTATTTGTTGTAAGACCGATGTTTCTGTTAAAATGTTTTCCCTAGCGCTTAAGTATCAACAAAGACTATCTTCCTGTGACGATGCTGCAACGTTACAGAAGTACATGATATTTTACAATTTTTTAACATATACTTTTTTGTATGTTTATAATAAATATTTGTTAATGAACATTTGACACTACGGTTTTCCACGCCGCTATTAAGAAACTATGCAAACGCCAGTAGTAATAATGAATTAATACAATAACTGAATATAATACAACATATCCAGCAATAGTTATATCAAAATAACAACTGAATATGATGTAATATAAATTAATTTATAAAAAGCAGAAATTTTTACGAGAAAATTAAGATAAAAGTACCATTGCTTGAACATGTATCTGATCCTGGACATTTTTATTTCTTGGCCTCAAAATACGAATATTTAAAATTTCAACTTTTATTTTTATAAATAAAAAATTATTTATTTTCTTAAAATCTCTCTCTTAAAAGCAATTGTTTATTCTATTTAAATAAAAGAATTTAGATGTAAGTAAATACGTTATTAATATCTACAAAATATTTTTTTGTTTTTTATTTCTCTCTCAGTGTATATATTCAATATATGTACATAGAGAGAATGATTTGGTTGAATCAAACAAACATTTCTTTGGAATGGTGCAAACAAATTTTTTGATTGATTGAACAAAGTTTTGTTTGACGCAACAAAAATATTCAATAGAATATATATACATTGAGAAGGAATGTGTGTATGTGTGTGCGTGTCTAAAAAATATTTATTCAGTGAATGCTAATGGTATATTCACTTAAAACTAAATTCTACGATTTAAAAAGGATAAACAATTGCTTTCATAAAAAGCAACGGTTTTAGGAAAATATATATTTTCTTATTTGAAAGAGATTTTTTTCAACAAAAATGTATATATTAGAACAAGCAGGTATGTTATCTTAGCATCCACCGTGAAAAAAATATTTTTGATTTTTTAAGTATATTTTTCTCTTAATATACACAGAGAGAACGATTTGTCGAACCAAATAAACGTTTCTTTGGAATGGTCCAAACAAAATTTTTGGTTGACAACAAAAATATTTCTTTGGAACTAAACCGTAACTAAATATTTTTGTTGCGTCAAACAAAACTTTGTTCAATCAACCAAAAAATTTGATTGATTTTTTTTCTTTGGATTATTCCAAAGAAGTGTTTGTTTGATTTAATCAAATCGTTCTCTCTGTGTACATATATTGAATATATACACTGAGAGAAAAATAAAAAACAAAAAAATATTTTGTAGATATTAATAACGTATTTACTTACATCTAAATTCTTTTATTTAAATAGAATAAACAATTGCTTTTAAGAGAGAGATTTTAAGAAAATGGATAATTTTTTATTTGTAAAATATATATATATATATATATATATATATATATATATATATATATTCGTATAAGTAGATGTATGTTATAAATATTCATCGAATAAAAATTTGTTATCTCTTAGATATTTTTTCTCTCAGTGTACATATTTCTTATTAAAAGTTGAAATATTTATATTTAAAAACCAAAACGATAAGGATGTCGAGGATGAAATACGTGTCCAGAAATTGATAATTTTACTTTGTTTCAAGAAGTATATGACATTACAACAACGATCGCGACGTTATTGTAACGATTTGCGTATTATTATCTTCAATAATACGTGTTTCACAGTCGTATTATTATCTTCGATAGTACGTGTTTCACAGTCTGAGTCACAATTAAAAGAATAATAACAAATGTTATAACAACGATCGCAATGTCACTTACCGTAGTTACCGTGTTTACCGTGGTTACCGTGTTACTTCTCGTATTATTATCTTCGGAAATATGTGCCAGACGAATCGGGAGTTATAATTAAAAGAAGGGATGGAGAGACGGTACAGCAATTATCGCGATATTATTGGTCGCGGTTACAGTGTTATTTGCGTGAGCTCCCCGTCGCTCCTCCTGTTATTATCTTCAGCACGTGTTTGACGGACGAATCGAAGTCACGAAAAGAAGGGATGGAGACGGCGCGACTTCACTACGGCACGCCAACTTTCTCGATGGATACGTCACCTCCGTCGAATCGATACGTGGTTAGACGTTACTTGCCGTTCAAACAAATTCGTGAAGACACAAGTGCACTGGAGATGCAGAGGCACAACACGATGCACACACAGCATCGCACAGCAGTCGTATGCTCACTGATAACTCCGCGGGGCCTGCTCTGGGAAACCCCTCTACTAGCACGCCGAGGGCCTCTCTAGGAGAGGGAGGAACCGATTTGATCTTAGGTTTGCAAGTTGCCGAGGGAAAAGAGACGACCATCAGACAATCGTTCATCATCGCACCAAAGGCGCCAACTCGTGATGCAGCGAGACGAAGGACAACTTGTATCGAGCATACCACCTTTATTGTTGCCATCGCATTATATTGTGTTACATTCGACGACATTCCGGCTTGTAATAGCTTCTTATCGCGCTTTAATGCGCTGTCTTTCACGGACTTGGACATCACAATGACGACTGACACACGAAGGGAATGCCGTTTTTCCTTTCTATTTCTCTTGCTCTACGATTAATCCTCGTCCTGCACCGCGCACATTTTCGCTCGTTTCAATTCCTCGTGACGCGCGACATACTCATTCACGGTCGTGCACAAATCCCCGTTATTCTCCATTGTGAATTCGAGGGACGAAAACAAGCTCTCCAGTAAGTGACTTTGCCACTCGTCTGTGGACCGGACAATCGTCTCGACCAAGTCCTCGATCTGAGAACTGAAGAGCTTCTCATTGCTGGCGGAAGTCCCGCCAGACATCACCTTCTGCCGTTTCGATGGTGGTCCTTCACCGCATGCGTTGTATTCTCTCTTGATGTTCGTTCCTGATAATGATCAGCAGACATTTATAAATCTCTACAGTTAGTACTTGTTATTATTACGGGTTTGCAGAAATTTGTCGAATCGCCATTGATTTGATTAGCTAAAAAAGTCATTTCACGAAAGTGAAGTTAACAATTACCTGAAAAGCAGGTAAAAAGTAATGGATGACGGAAAATATTAGATTGTGTAATAAAGTGAATTTCAGGGTTTTCAGGTGAAATGAAACGATTGTATTTTTATGTCGTTATAACTTTATGAAACAATATAGATGCCATTTTGATCTTCTATTATATTTTGCATTGCATTATTCTACAAAATTGTAACGACATAACAGGAATAAACAGCTTTCAAGAACTGCAAAAGCTATAAAAAGTATAAAATATAATCGACTAATATTAGGAGCTGGCTAATTGAATCAATAATTACATCTTTCTTCACTATTTATTTCCCTACAGTTATATAGTTATTTACCTCATTTGTCTTTTTCGCACTGACTTCTAATATCATTAGAATATTAGAATAGGATTGTATATGAGAATATATTGAGTCAAAATTATATTTCATACTTTTATACTTTCATACTTTCAGACCTCTTGAGGCTTTGGAGACTCTGAAAGCAGTTTATTTTTGTTAAGAGTGTTTTATATTACACCTTAGTAACACAGTTGGTTCAATATTGGTTACATTGGGTCAATATAACCGATATTGGTTATAAATAAAATGTGAATAAATTGCCAATATTATATAACAATTATATCGATATTGGCACGCATTGAAGGTATGTTGAGTCAACATAACCCAATATGTAGCCATTATTGGTAACAAATAAATTCCTAATTGAAATTTTATATCGGCTACAAAATGCAAGGTGTCTATTTTATTGGACATATTGGAGCTCAATTTGTAACTAATATTACTCCAATGAACTGTACTATTAGAGGGTACTTCTTAATTATTTACTAAAAGTTTGTTTTTAAGGTTGGTTAAAAATAACAGTTTATCTTATATCTCTAAATGTTCTCGGATTTGAGAAAGTAATGAAAGTACCTAATTTCCAGATTATTTGGAGAAACATAGGTAATGCCGCTAATTTAAAAATCATGCATGGAAAAAGAAGTCGGATTGGATTAATGAGATTTCTGATAAAATGTAAACAAATAAAAAATTTCAGTTGAACTTTTATTAGAATTTCGTTCAAGTTAACGAGATTTCTCGTTAATGAAATTTGATTAATTCAAACGTTTTTTCCGTGTGTAGGTAATATACTGAACAAGCTACAAATAATTTCACTTCAATATCTCTAACGATTCTCAAATTATAAGAGAGCATACACACAAACAAACAAATATACAAAACAAACTGAGAATCTCGTTTTTTTGTATTACGTCAGTTAATAAAAATATAATTGCTTGATTTTATCTGGATAATTTAGATTATTGAAAATTATTTATTACACAAACCAATATATTTCGATAAAATAAATTAAATTTCTTTTATTAAATATAAAAAATAAAATAAAATATAAAATATAAAATAAAAAATATTATTTCGGTGCTATTAACACACGAGGGACATATCCGACGAATTTTTGCAAATCCTTAATGGTAACATTTATATAAGTAAATTCTAAGTGTGATCGTTGTATACGTAAGCTAGACTTCTGATATTTCAATTGATAATTACTAGATCTGGAAGACGTCGAGTGCGAGGATCGTACAGTTCCGAGCTTATTTCGCACATTCGATTTCGCTTTAATCTTCCTAGTATTCCGTGCTGCGCTAACTTCTTATAGAAACAATGCAGAGTGTGCATTAACGATCAATAATTTTTGTATACGAGACTCGCGCTCTTAAACGTACCTAGTATTCCATTAGAGTCGGTAGCACGCACGAGACCCTTTAGCTTTTTGTTATTTTCGCCTTTGAACTTCTTCGGGCTCAGGATTTGTATCAGATCTGCTGCGTGCATTATTAGAGGTCGAGGATTTGATGCAATTATTGTTCAATAGATGATTATTTTAAATAGACGTTTACCTTGCGAAGAGCAGTTGGAGAGATCATCGGATCCTCCGTTGAGAAACAATTGCTTGAAGAAAGATCGTCGTTTTTGCGGCGAGGGCGCTCTCACTTCGTATATCTCACCACGATTATCGTCGTACATTCCTTTGATCTGCAATTACAATAATAACTGCTCAAACATTTATTCATAATTAACAAACATTTATTCATTTATTAATAATATGTTTTGCTCTGTATATGAGCAAATGTACAAAAAAGTAGGGTGATGCAACTATTCATAAAATAAAATATCTCTAGTTGCATGCACCATACCTATTTTTCCGTATGCAAATCTTGCTTCTGACATGTTCTGCCTGTCAAACTGTCATCTTAAAAATTTGTTAAGTGTAACAAAAATTCATTATATTTAATCGCGAATGCAACAACGAGATTTAAGCGTCGCAATAATTCAGAGTGCGATAACCTCCGATGGCAGGTCGGCATGTTGACAATGGGCGGTCATTAGCACTAGCATGTGCACGGATCGATCGAGATCTCGCATTAAAGAGGTGAAAACCACTCTCGCAGTCTCATCCACCAAGTCCCACCAGGTCAAGATACCAGGAACGTACAGCAACGCTGGTAGAGTGCGACGCGCGGTTTTGATTTTCTGTTATTACAAACAACAAATTCAGAACGCAACTTTGACATTAATCTAAGGACAATTAGATGCGGGAGTAAAGAGTGGTTGCTACTTGTATCATCGCCTCCTCAGCCGCCTTGCCAGTTTCCTCGAACAGGCTCGTGACATCTAAGACATGGCACGGCAGGTGCTCTAGGGTGTGCAGCAACGCAGGCCCCAAATGACGTGTGTGAGAATCGTCGTTGCCGCATAACAAAATTCGCGGGCAACCGTTTGACTTAGACGTGGCTTTACCTGTACTGCAGTACAGTTTAACATTCAGTTCCAATTATTCCAATAAGCAAAATGTTAGTAGTATACTGGCAAATTGGCAGCAAATTCGATTAAAATCTCGTAACAAAACCATAGTCATCTATATCTGCATTAAGTTCATGTTCTGGCGACATGATAGAGTTTGCTGACATGATATAACGATAGATTGACAGCAGAAACTGAGTAGATTCTACCTCTAAATTGCAGCAAAGCCTACTCGGTTTTTGGCGCCAATCTGCCGTCAGACTGCTATAAAATTTATTTGGTTTCTGTCCGCTGGCATAGCATGTCAGAAAACTTTGTCAAATTTCTAACAATAATTTAGCAACATCGTCATATAAAACATATTCTGTGTGAGATTTGTAGTCTTTGTATCAGAAATTTATAGCAGAATATCTGCCTACGCAAAATTAGCTACTCTAGTTCATTGGCGTTACATTGGCCCGATATTATTTACATTGCTATACATTAGACCAATATAGCCAATATGTATAGCCAATATTGGTTATAAATAAAATTTAAATAAATTGCCAGTGTTGCACAAAATGATTGTATCAATATTGGCGTACTTTGGACCAATATAACTCAATATATAGCCAATATTAGTAATTAATGTATTGTCAATGTTCGAAATTCTATATTGACTATAAAATGCAAGGCGTCTACTTTACAATTGAGTATATTGAGTCCCAATTTATAGCCAATATTGCCCCAATGAACTGAGCTACTAGGATATCTGGGTTAGCGCTTCGTTACCAGCTCGCTGTACCTTTCAGAGTTTACCTCTCAACGCTTACATGTTATCCGAAGTCAGCATGCCAACTGGGCAGAGTACTTGCAACCGCGACAAGATATTCGTCAGATCTTCTTGTAATAGCGGTTGAATCTTGGTTGACAAACTCTTGATCGGCGCGACGACAACGCGGTGCGACGCTGGAACGATATTCTGACGCGCCTTTAGGAAATCTTCCTTTTCAACCTCGATGAGAAATTATCAAATTACATTAACGTGTCGAATATAAGAATATTATTGCGAACAATCTCACGAACTTTCTCAAACTTCTAATGTAACATATGTTTGTGCAATAAAATATTTTCGAAGAGAATTGCTCTCTTTCAGTTAAAAATTTCCTTCACAAGCCTAAAAGAACACGTTTCACATGTTTTATGTGAAATATTTTTGTGTTATAAGAATTTTTCTTAATTGTGTATCGTTTAGTTGTGTGATATCATTGGAAATTTATTATTGCTGCAAGGACGCAAAGAGGACGTTCATATTAATCGTCAATGAAACACGACATTTAATTGAAAAAATCGTTCACAAGCCTGATCGCCACTTTGTCTTACTTTGAGGTGGCGTTCGTTGATGTGGTACTTGGATTTGGAGGTGTAGATTTGCGGATAATTCCTACGTATCGAACACATAACTGCTTCAGCGCAGAGAGCATGCAGGTCGCTGCCGCAAAATCCCAACGTTTTCGATGCCAAATATGCTAAGAATTTCTGTGCCGGTTTTTGCTTCCAACTTTTGATATGCACCTGCACGCCAGACACGTATAGACGTGTTAATACAGTCTTGCTATCTTTTTCCTCTCTTGAGTATACACATATAGCACAAGATGTCCTGAGATCATCCTGTATAAATTAAGTATAAATTAAGAAAAAAATTATGCAAAAAAAATGGATACTCAACATCTTGAGGCAGTCACTCTTCAGGCATTTTGAATTTTCAAGATAACACTCGGGATATCTTAGGACACTTGGGATATCTTGTGCTATTTGAATTGTTATTATTTTAATGATACCGAGAGTATCTCTTTCCTGGCGCTGTAACAAGGTAAAGGAAAGTATAGCTCTTTGTCGAATCTACCGGGTCTCCTCAGAGCGGGATCTATCGCATCGATTCTATTAGTCGCGCCTATCACTATGATCTCAGAATTATTGTTCAAACCGTCCATCAGAGCCAGCAAAGTGGAGACTACGCTGACATGGACAAAATCCTGACGACTGGACCTTACAGGGGCGAGACCATCGACTTCGTCAAAGAAGATAATACACGGTTTCGACTGTTGTGCCTGGAGAAGGAATTTTTGGGATATATATATATATATATATATATATATGTATATATATATATATATATATATATATATATATATATATATATATATAT